TACACATGCATGCTGTACTCCAGTAATAGTGCTTATGAGCAACTGCCTCAAGATAGTCTCGTGAAGCCAATAAATTTCTTACACCCAGGTTCCACTGAAAAAATAAATACAATCCACAAGAAGGTCAAAAATATATAAAAATGTTGATTCTTTCATATCCTTATTTCTAATATCTGCATATTGTCTCTCTTTTAACCTATGCTGCCAAGTAGATAAGACTAAATTGGGATCACTCCTTTTCATAGTTCAGGTGACTAAATGAGAAAGCAAAGATACACTGCAGGTAATGTTTCAGGGTTGTGAACTGCAACAATTGGAAGAGTTCAAGCACTGCTCATGTGACTTGATGAGTTACAATCTGTGCCCATGCTCTTTCTGCACTAGCTTCAAGTTTCTGTTGCATTGCTAAACTCATATGAAGCTGAACACAGACTGAAGAGTCGTAACAAGAGGCATGAAAACCAGAGACAGATTCAGTACGAACTTCATGTTGGTTTTTCCCACTGCAGCACAGAGGAACACAACATCTTCCCTCCCATACACTTATGACAACTGTAAAGGTTGAGTGGAAAGCCTCTTTCAGCTTCTAGGAAACAAATACAAGACTGGTGGAAGTGATGGCTCTGACAGTGGTGATTCTACAACTGTTGTCACAGTCCTGGCAAACAGGATAAGATATTCACAGAGCACTGATGGGGAACTGCTCTTAGAAAAAAATTCCATTATCCATGACTCAGTAACTGCAAAGATGTCAAAGTTGACTGCGAAAAACAAGTAACCCAGAAACAAGATTAGATTCAAACTCAGGACCCTGCACATCACCATTTAACGTACAACAAAGAAGAAAAACTTCACCTGGAGGGCCAGGGATGTAGCTCAGTGGCCACTGTACCTGCCTCGGCAAGCCTAAGGCCATAAGTTTGATTCCTGGTACCAAAAACAACAACAACAACAACAAATTCACCTGAAATATTTTATAGCATGATGGGAAACATCCTATATACGTTAATCAGCATTTCATAATTTTAAATCTGGGGCAGTTGTTTTACTTTAGCCCTAATTTGTCACCTGTCAACTTTGAGATACTCAGAGAGGTCTGAAGACTGAATCCCTATCCCTATCTCATACAGATAGGCGCTACTACTTTACAAATACAGAAGATAATGTGGTCATTAATATACATCCAGTTGAGTGATATTAAGTAACATTTTCACAAAAACATTTGCATTCCTTAGAGATGAAAAGCAAAAGCACATCTACTCAGATGTAGTGGTACTTGCCTATTATCACAGATAGTTAGGAGTCTGGAAAAAAAGGACTGAGTTCAAGGCCAGCCCCAGCAACTTAAGAGACCCAGTCTCATAATAAAAAAGAAAAAGAGGCCGGGTGTGGTGGTGCACGCCTGTAATCCTAGCACTGGGGAGGCTGAGGCAGAAAGATCACTGTGAGATTGAGACCAGCCTGAGCTACATAGTGAGTTCCAGGTCAGTCTCAACTACATAGTGAGACCCTGTCTCAAAAAACCAAAACCAAAACCAAAAAAAAAAAGAAGAAAAAGAGTTAGGGATATAGCTCAGTGGCAGAGTGCTTGCTTAATGTGTGAAGTTTCTGGGTTTAGTTCCTAGTATCCTCCCTTTAAAAAGTTTTTTAAAAGTACAGTAAAACTTTAAGATCCTTGAGAACCACTGCTTTCCAGTTTATAATACAGTATTTTTTACTTTATAATATACAAGAAAAAAAGAAAAGGTTTTGAAAAAAATGTGTATTTACTTTCATTCCTAGTCTTTTCTTGGCCATTAGTTTTTCCTTTGGCATTTAACATCAAAGCTAGTTACCCTTTCATCCTGAGCTTCTCTGTTAGTTGTGGCTACTTCACAAACAAGTACAACATACCAGTACAGACAGAAATGGCAGTGCATCATGTACTAAGGAAACATACATGTATCATTTGATTCCTCCCCTTAGAAAAAAAAAGACCAGTCAGTTTACCCCTTTCCATCCTTTTTTATTTTTTCCTCTCCTGATGTTTAGAACAATATTATAGAAAGGGAATTAAGGCCATTAAATTATTAAAGAGGAAATAAATACCTTATTTCCCCATGAAAATTGACCCCAGATTTTAATTTATACTCTTTATATACAACATTAAAAGTCTTGCTAAAGAGGGTCTCAATTTTAAGCACTTCAAAAGTCAGAAAATAAACATTTCTATCTAGGATATATTAAAATGTAAATAGCATCTCAAAAATATTTACTATTTAACTTAAACTTACATGGGCTCATCCACGCTTTTCAGTGATGTGAATTTCTTGGTGGGATAGCCCAAACAGGTGTGTGTATGTGTGTGCACGCGTGTAGGTATGCATGGTGGTAGCAGTGGTGGGATACGGGGAGAGCTATATATATCATTTATTAATTTATTACCTAGGAAATAAACCATCCTGAGATAAACCAGACGTGTTTTTTTGTTAATTCTATAATTATCCTAATGTGACTCCTGAATATGTGATCTGCTTATTACTAAGACCTAAGAAAAGATTTCTGTAAATTAATATTATACCATTGAGTTTTGGCAGCAGAACACAAATCACATTGATTCTAATACAGCTAAATCTAGTCACAGACACAGAGGGAAGTATAAATTTTAAACATGGAAAACGAAATAAACAAAACCCTGAACTAAGGGCCATGCCTGAATGGAGAGAAGGACCTGAAGACAGGAAAGTCCAAACTCGTCTGTCAGCTCTCCTGGAGCCAATGGCAGAGGCCTCTATGAATCAGCACCGCCATCTCTTCCTCAGGTAGCAGCTTTCCAGACTATAAAAGAGCCCAGGACTATAAATCCAAAGACTTGTGCAAGTCCTAACATCTCTGTTTAGTAATATGACCATGACATTTTATTAGCCTAGTTCTCCCTCTCTATAAACTGAGTAAATGAATCCTATTTCATTATACTGCTCTAAGGAGCTACTAATTTTAAAAAAGATACAAAGCGCATATATTCTATAAATAGAAAGTGATAATCTAAAAGTCAGTATTATTATTAGTGGGTTAAATTCAACTAAGATGGTAGTGGATACTGTTCCTAAGTAGAGGACAGATGGAGGAAACACAAAAATCTACCGTATCTTAGAGCAGAGTGCAGATGCTGAAGAAAGTCCTTAGTGCAGTAGAACAGAGGGCAAAGACTATACCTGGTATAAAAATAAAGCAAGACACTGCCTCTACTGGCAGTAGAATTCCAAGAATCTGTCCTGGGGGCAAGAGTTTAGCTCAGTGGCAGAATGCTTGCCTAACAGCAAGGTCCTGGGTTCCATCTTAGTACTTGGGGGAGAAAGAATCATTCTAGATGATTTGACACTTTTCGTCTTGTGATGTTTTTGTCCAGAGGCATCAAACGACACCTCACAATTAAATTCAAACTTAAGTTCAAGTCTGTTTATCTACTAAAGAAAAAATAAATTGCTCAGTTCTTATAGTATACCTTGACTACTTATTTGCTAATATAATAATACCAATTATTGGCATTACTACAATGCTCAAAGCAGCTGCATTTTTTTTTTTTTTTTTTTTTTTTTTTTACGCCAGCGGGGTCGTTTTTTTTTTTTTTTTTTTTTTGTACCAGGGATAGAACTGGGATCCTCGTGCTTCTGAGGCAGGTGAGCTAAACCCCTGGCCCAAAGCAGCTACATTTTAAGAGACTAAAGTTTTGAAGAAACGTTGGAACAATGGGATCTTATAATTCAAATTACTTCCAAATTGTTGTTACAGGAAAAAAAAAAGAAAAGGTGGTACAAGTATCAGCCTGCCTCAGTACTAAAGATGTTACTCTCAAAGCAAAATTAATTATGCAGTAAATACATTTATTCTAATTTTTTCAGCATTAAAATAGTCATCATCCAACATCATGAAATTTAAATTAAATGAAGTAAAGGAGCAGAGTATATGAAGTATTGTGATTATGATTATGCACTTTTCTGTGACCCACAATTTATTCATATCTCTTCTTAAAAGACAATGAGAAGATTCTACTAACTTTCATATTGTTCAAACATTTGTCAGTAAACTGATTCTTCTGAATCATCCCACTTCCCTTCCTGTCCCTGCTCAAGAACGATGTTTCTTCACCTTAGATAAATACTGTAGAAGTAGTAGTAAAATAAGGCCTTCACCGAGGGAAAAGTAGTCTGCAGAAAAAAGAGCAACCAGGGAAATGAAGATTCCCTTGTATTAACCATTCTTGTCCTAGAGTTTCCTTCTCCTGTGATCACTGGAGCAAGATACAGATATGAAATTATACTATTACCTGGTGAATTTGAGAAAAATCATTCTCAATTTTACTTTGGTGACAGATGGAATTTAACAAGGACGTCTGGTTCATACTTGTAAAGCATCGTCTGTCTCAGCACAGGGGAAACCACAGAGTTAACAAGCCAGACACCAGACTAAACACCTCAGAACTCACCACTATCCCTCATTTCTGGTCCCTACCTTTCTGTAGTTTTACGTCTACATCACTAATTCCCTCAGTTTGTGCTGGCCTGGGGCTCTTCCAAGTAGAAAGCAAGGAATCAGTATCCTCAGTTTCAGACTGGACACTAAGACAAGATTCTTCTTTCCAACTCACACGTCACCCACCCAGCTCTCACTCTCTTTCTCCACTGCATGTCAGCAGTGTCACTCTCACACCAACCTCAGTAATTCCCAGCTGTTTTAGGCCTTCCAGGACATTTGCGTGGAAAACCCCAGCCACAGAGGAACAAAAAGTGGCTGCGGCTAGGCAGCAGCAGCAGGAGCAGAGAGGGTGGTGAGGACAGCTGGGGACTCCTGAGGGACACATGCTGCCCGGAGCTTCCCGCCCATATCTGACACACCTGGGCCGCTGTGGCGGTAACAGTCTGGCAGAGCCCCAGGAGCCGGCCGGCAGTGCTGGCTACCCAGGACACCCACGCGGCACAGGCACAGCGCAGCCCGCGTGTCCACACCCACCCCGCGTGCACCTGGACCTGGCGGCCACCCTGCTCCGTCAGGGCGCTCTCGGGGACTGGGCTTCAGGCCGGCTCCGGAGGCTGGAACCGCAGGCGGTAGGGCAAGACTTCACTCCTCCATCCTGGGACCCGAGCCTTGCACTTCCTGTTTGAAAGCACAGGGGAGAAAGGAAAGCAGTTGCAGAGTGAGCCGGTGGCGGGAGACGCGCAGCGCGTGGCGCGAAGGAGGGGCTGTGGCTCAAGGAACCCTGGGTGGCCCGAGACCCATCCGCCACCGGGTCCCTGCCCGGTCCCTGCCCGCAGCCAGCCCGCAGCCGGCCTCGCCGGCCTCCCCAGCAGGCCACCTCAACTCAACTCGCTGCTGCTGCTGCTGCTGCTGCTGCTGCTCCTGCTGCTGCTGCTCCTGCTGCGCACGGCCCTTCCGCCCCAGGCGCTGCCTGCTCTCAGCTCTTCCAAGCACCTCCATCAGTAAACTCCGCGCTTCCTCCCAGTGGGCGCCCCGAGAGTCCGCCTCTTTCCTTTCCTCATTCTCCTACTCTATCCCCAGTCCCTGCCCCAGCAAAGAACTCACCTCCGGGAAGGTGCAGAGACAAGACTTAGCCTTTTCAGGGGGAATGAAGACTGGATTTATGCAATTTTTTAAAGTTAATTACCACATCCCAGTATATACACTTCAGCCAAGCAGCAGAAAGAGCTTAAGGATGGGAAATTACTTGTCTCGTGCCTCACTGACTCAAAAGAGAAAACAAGCATACTGCTGCCACAAGATGAGCTGTCAGGAACTGGAGCAGAGAGGAGAAATACAAAGTATTATAACGTGCCTCCTAGGGTTCCATCCTCAGTTGGCCCAACAGTCACCAAATTCTCCATTGTCTTTGAACACATTCTTCCAGAAAACCGATTCTTTCCCCCGTGTGTTAAAGTCTGGGATTACATTCATTTCTTTGAACTCTGACTTAAGTGCACTTCACAGTGAACTTCACTTAAAAAAATAAAATAAAAATAAACAGATGAAGACTCTGCTACATGTAGTCTCCAGGAGTTGTAACCTGGTGCCCTTGTACCCAAAATCTACCGGATCAGGGGTAGAGGACCGTCTCTGACAGCTTCTTTTATCATCAAGGTTTTGGCTTAAATAAACCATTCTTGTTCTTAAATTCAAAACGAAGGACAGAATATAAAGAATGATTATTCTAAAATGGGTGTGGTGGCACACAAGCCTGTAATCCCAGCACTCCAGGAGACTACAGGCAGGAGGATTTTCAGTACAAACATAGCCTGAGTAATTTCGCAAGACCTTGTCTAAAAATGAAAGACAGTGGATATAGCTCAGCACTAAGGCCCTGGGTTCAATCCTCAGTACTACCTCTAACTCCTCCAAAAAACGAAAAGAAAAAGCTACTCTATATAAAAAGCTAAATTCTGGCTGAAATAGTAACTGACACACATTATGTTCCTACTCAGTGCAAGGCAGCATCTCATTTTAATCTCCTCTTGGTCTTAACATTTTCCAATAGCTCTGTAAAAATCTTATTCCTGTATTCCCAAATGAGGAAACAGTCAGCGAAGTTAACTGTCCTGATGTCTCAGCTAGAAAATGGTCAAATGGAGAGTATCTGGGCCATTTCCTTCATGCTCTAAGTTTCTAAAATAATAGTGAATTCTAGAGGAAAAGTCAAGTCTAGCAATCATCTGGGATCCATTCCTTCATCTCAAAATGATCCCACAATTCACACTAGCCCCATGGAGCTGGCAGGGTTCTTCACTCTCCTGATTTGTACGTCTCTTGTTAACTGAAGCCAAGGACACAGCACTCTTTCTGTTACCTATTACTGTCTCTGTCAGCCTTTTCAGAATTACTTGATGGCAAAAGTTCAAAAGGTTCTAGGATAGCCACTCATACGCCAAGGTACAAAGTCTGCCCAGCTCAGAATCTAACCAGCTGACTAACATTTGTTCTCTGAATTCACTTTTCTCGAATATGTTTGTTTTAATAAGGCAAATGCTGTTTGCAAAAACAGATTCATGCCCTCAACTTTTAGTAGGACGGTTGGCAATTTCTCATTTTCTGTGTTCTTCTAATCAGACATGGTGGCATACACCTGTAATCCCAGCACTCAGGAGGCTGAAGCAGGAGGATGAAGAGTTTGAAACCAGCCTGGGCCATATACAGTACTGTTAGGAGCTCAAGGCCAGCCTGGACTACTTAACTAGACCCTGACTCCAAGAAAAAAAAAATGCTTCAAGCAAATACTTCATGCTCACCAGCCAGTAGCATGCAGCTATTAGTCACCTGTTTTTTGGCCAAACAGCAGAACATGAAGTAAAAAGTGGCAATGGTGAGCCCGAGAAAGATGAAATGCATCTTGCCTGCCTTTCCCGTCATTCCACTAGGGCAGCACAGGTTACAGTTGTAGAGCACACAGGTGAAGTTCAAGAGCACTGCTCTGCTAGTATGCAGAGGTGGGCAGAAGGGCCACAAGAACAAGTGAGAAGCACTCCTATTCCTCAAGCTCTCACAGTTTAACAAGGGCTTCCTAAAATCTTCCTGATGGTTCTTAGTTTCCTTTCAGGGCCTGCTTAGTCCACCTGCTATTTTTCTCAAGTCTCTTGCTCATCTTGTACCTATCAACTCTTCATCTCTCTTGATAAACTGTTTTGACATCTTTGATTCTCCCCAAAGCACTGCCATTCCTTTCCCAGCAAGTATCCAATGGGAGGGAAAGCTCAAAGGAGAGCATTTAGCTCAACTCTCACTTAAAAAATCCTGTCAATAATTACCATGTTAAGGACATATTTCTATTTCAAAATACTTCTTGGTATTCCAGCTTTCATTTGTTATTCATTATAACCCCAAGAGTCCAGAAGGACAACCTTTAAAAGAAAAATAAAGCTCTTAGGAAAAGGCAAAGGAAATGCATTTTTTAGTTTGTCTTTTGGAACTCGTGAGATTTAACTAACTTTCAAAAAGAATTCCTTTAATTCTGAAATTCAAAGTCATTAATGTAAAAACAGCCAATAGTAAACCATTCTTGTTTTGCCCTAGCACTGTGCTGATCATTTATATATATGAAGTTTGTACTGTTTAACAGTTCACAAAATACACAAGCACAACTACAGGGAGTGGAGGAACCATATTCACCTATACCTTGTGTCCATACCTGATTTTCTTTTCTTTTCTTTTTTCTCTTTGGTTTTTTGAGACAGGGTCTCACTATGTAGTTGAGACTGATCTGGAAATCACTACCTAGTCTCGAACTCACAGCGATCCTCCTGCCTCAGCCTCCTGAGTGCTAGGATTATAGGCGTGCACCACCACGCTGGGCTCCATATCTGATCTTAATACTCTGCTCTGGAGCACAGCCGACTGTGGGCTACATGCAACCCTATCTCCCTTTTAGGGTCCCTATAACTAAAACACATATGAAAATATATATTAAAGGGCTGACGGTATAACTTGGTACCGTGCTCACACACAAGGCCATGGGTTCAATCCCCACTGATACACACACACACACACACACACACACACACACACACACACACTCATTCTGTGAATACATCCCACAGTTAAAAGTTGGCAAATACTTCACAGTTTGTGGTGTTTCCTAGTCCCCACAACCTCAAAGCTTTAGCACATCATACTTCTCCATGGTCCAACTATTCTCGAGCTTCTTCTGTTTCATGGAGAAGGTGTTTCTTCCATATTATCACAACTGAGCAGGAAACAAACATAAATCACAACTTTTATCAGGAGAAAAAATTATTCTTTTAGGTGCACACAAATCATGCCAAAAAGTTGATCTTGGAAGAATCTGAGGGTTTTCTTTGAAAGTCTCTATCCCCTAAGTACCAAAGTCCATCATACTTGGAAATATTGTGAAAGCCTTTTGAAAAGCTCCAAATTAGTTTCAGGCTAATAAACTTATATCCAAAAAAGAAGGCTGCTTATCTTTTTCATTTTAAAAGAGAAAGATCTTGAGCCAAGCATGGTAGCACACCAATCCTAGCACTTGGGAGACTGAGGCAGGAGGACTGCCATGAGTTGAAGATAGCTTAGACTACATAGTGAGTTCAAGGCCAGCCTAGATTACATAGTAGTTTCTTAAAAAAAAAAAAAAAAAAGATCTACTTTGAAGGTTAAAAATGTTTGGCACAAGATTTCTCTATGTAAACATCAGGACTCTCTCTGATTAATACAGATGGATTTTTAAAACAAGAAAATGAAAAATGACAAGCTGGTTACCTAAGAGATGGCCTCTCTGCACTAGCAGCCTTCATAGCACAATGTTCTTATTTTGGCCTTCACTCCAGGGTAGGATACGTAAGAGGATTTTCTGGGAAGGAGGTCTCTGGCACTCAGACGTACCTCCTGGCCTCAGCAAAACATGGGCACTGCTTTCAAGGAAGATTTTTCTCAGAGCCAACTGGCTGGGCTGACTGGCATTTCCCCCCACAGAGGGTGAGTAGTCATCTTCCAGGAGCCAGAACAAGAGTCGTCTCCCATGGCAAACTGTAGCACGAGGCTACAAATCAGCTTCATAAAACTCCTGCCCACAGCCTCACATAGGCTCTCTGTTAACATAGAGCTTCCTAGTTTTGAGCAAGCTGAGAAGGAAGGGACTATTAAGCCTGCCCATTGGCAAGATGTGCAAGATCCACATTACAAGGCAATGTGGGTCTCCCAGGCTCAATGCCTCAACATCCCTGGCTTCCAGAGGCATATCACCAACCTCGCACAGAATTACTACCCTAATTGCACAGAACAAACTGTCACTCACTCTGCCTCCCTGAATTTTCAGAACTGCCTTTGCAGGGAAGGGCCATTATCACCATGCTACAGCACAAGACACAGAGGCTCCCAGATGTTAAAGTGATTTTCTCAAAGCAATGGGTAATGGAGCTAAAACTCACCCTGGATTTGTTCTTCCTCATTTTAATTAGAGAGATGAGTGGGTGCATTTTGGCTATGGACTTATTATTCTGTGCTACATAGCTTTTACTCAGAAAAACCTCACTCTGAAAATATAGCTTTCTGATACCTGCCTTTCAAGTGCAAGGGCCCAAGTTCAATCCCCGGGACCACAAAAAGGAAGAAAGAAAATATAGCTTGTGAAGTTCTCTTTTAACTGCATCATGCTATCTCATCATGTTGTCATGGTTTAGTACAATGTAAAGCATAAACTATTTTGCAATGGGCTGATTTTAAATTATAGTAATATAAGTACATATAAATTGGGTTAAATATGCTGTTGGGCTGCCGCTTTTTATAAAATAATTAAATAAGACAGACTCTGGTCAAATTGTGATAGACAAAACCTTAATATAATTTGTTCAAGTTTCCCCTCTGGTTTTTCAGTTAATGTATGTATGGAAAGTATACCGTGTTGACTGATGTACTGTATTTTGTAGGCATAATATGAAAGAAGAAGCTGGGTGTGGTGGCACATGTCTGTAAGCCCAACATTATGGGAAGCTGAGGTAGGAGGATCCAAGC